TTCACTTGTGTTGCTACCCAAGCTGAAAATACTCAGTGAATGCTGTTTAGTCCTTTAGCTCTTTTTTGGCCCACTGTACTCAGTAAGTAAGTACTGAGCACCTTTTTGCAGGACATCTTTTCCATTGATTGAAATTAGTCAAGGACTATCTTCAATTTCTGGCTTCTATCCTTCCTTTTAATCCCACAGACTGTTCCCCAGGGCATATGTGAGGATGACCGTAAGTTTGCCTTGTCTTTACCCATTATATCACAGGAGCTGAACACAGATGGTTCCTATGTCCTGAGTGCCAGCCAGTGGGGAAACCTAACTGAAAGGTGGTGGGCAGGGACCCAGAGGACACAGTCCACAGGGGATCAGCCTCTCAGGATATGGAGCCTGCAAGGAAAAGTGTGTGTGTTTTTGGGAGGAGACAAAGGGTGAGTCATCAGCTCACCTGCTAATTAATTTAGAAAAGGAAAAACAGTTCCCCTGGGTCCATTCTGAAATGTCTAAGGGCTCCTCATTGCCCCTAAAGGAAATATCTCTTTCAGAATCCTTAGCAATCAGACACAATCTTATATTGTTTCTTACAAGCAATGAAAATAACTTGGGTATTGGGTTCAGCTATGCATCTTAGACTGGCTGTTTCCTATGATACCACTGGCTCATTATTGAATTTCCTGGAGCCTTTTTCCCCCCAGTATGTAAACAAGGATAACACCTTTCATGTAGATATGCTCTGTTAATATCTGCAGATTTTACTGTACCTTGAAATGTAGCTCAAATCCCACATAAAACCACCTTATTGAGGTCTTGATCTCTCATATTCTTCATATTTAGCCATCATTTGCGCCAATAAATCCTTGTGTATTAAAAAAATTGAAACAGAGTTATCTGAATCATTTTTTTTTCCCAGTTTTTACTGTCTTGCTAATGGGACAGTGTAGCTTTCTTGACATCTTCCTACAACCTTACTTTTTTGATACTTCCCACTTAACCTTTATAGCTGCAGTTATGATGTTGCCTAAGATTTACCTGTGACAGTCAACACATGGGTCACTTCTCAATTGTCAAATCAGAATTTCAAACTTGTAATTCTACAACACACTCAGGAAAGATGATCTGATAAAGACTGGCTGTAAAAATAAAACAGTATTTTAAAATAATAACAAAATGATATTGTCATATAACCCAGGAGAGATAATAACCAACTGATCAAGTGACAGTGTGTACACTGTTTCAAATCTACTAACCATGAATTCTTTCTGGTCCATAGTGCTCTCAAGCAGAAGAGGAAAATAAGCAGGGGCTTCTGGAGTAAATTGTTGTGGACACGGCTCCCTCTAGTGTACTGAACAACATAGGTGCCCCGTGCACGATGGCTGCACACTCTCATTCCCTACCACCAGCCTTGTTTGAACCACTGAATCTGTTTTGCTGCCACCTTCCTTTCTCTTGAACCGGGAAGAAAGAAAGAAGGATGGATGATGTTTATTCCACTGAGTTTGAACACTGATTGTTATGGGGGTAGTGAATTGACTGGAAGTATATAAATAATATGAGAAAGTATATAAATAATATGAGAAAGTATATAAACGTTTTATTTTAAAAACAGTTTTCACTTTTTCCTGAGGTAAGAGAATGTAACTAGGGAGAATAAGCAAAAGTGAAGATGATTTCTAGTAATTTTACGCAAAAGGTCCCCATCTTGTGTTTATCAAAATATTAAGAAGGATACATGGGCTATTTGGAAAGCCCAAAATTAAGACACAGCAGAAAGGAAAGCAACTCTTCCAATGGGGAGAAATGCAATGTCATGATGTATACTGAAGCAATGTTTCTCAAAGAATCATCTCCAGAACGTTGGCTCCACAAGGTAATGATGATCTTACTCCAATAAGGGTTCTATGTCAAATAATTTTAAAATATTTGGTAATTATTTAGTAAAGATGAACTGATTTTTTAAAAAAAACTTTAGTATGTCTCATAGACCTTAGGATGCTCTTACTATACCACCAGGTCATGTGACACCACACTCATAACTGCAGAATTTTCCAAAGTATTTAACAATGACTTTTTTAAATGCTTATTCCTTTGAGACTGTGCACTGGGTCAGAATTTCATTATCTTCCAATCAAAGAAAGACAACAAATATGAAAGTGTGCTGAAGAAGAAAAGAAAATAGATTTGATACAAACAGGATGACTCTTAGAAAGCTGTGGTCAGTATCCTAACTCTCTTTCACATTTGAAAAATTACTAATACAATGTATTAAAGTCTCAATTCACTCCAGTTCTATAGTGGGGTCAAAAGGATTAGCCATGCTGAAAGCATCATCAGCCCACGAAATCACTACCACATTTCTCCTACATCATAGTCATGACTACTTCTGAGAATGAGAAACAAGACTTCAAAAAGTGCAGCACCCAATCATACTAGATTTTGAATTTTTATAAAAATGTTTCCTTGTGACAACTCATGCTAATTCAAATTTATGTGTGCAGCTTGTCATTATTAACAGGATCATTAAGACACAGGGCACTTGCACATTAAAGAAGTCAGAGGAAGGGGCTGGGGATTTAGCTCAGTGGTTCCACCGCCTGCCTAGCAAGCACAAGGACTGAGTTCGATCCCCGGTACCAAAAAAAAAGAAGAAGAAGAAGTTAGAGGAAGCTTGTAGTGCAAGTTGTAAACTAAAGATGGAACTCACAGCTGGACAAACTCCTCTTAGAGAATGTTCAAGAAAAATGGAAATCCACAAAGTGGTCTGTCTTGGATAACAGCATAGTAAATAGAATAGCAGAAGCAAGTCAAGAAGCGGGGACTGACAGTTCTTCAGGGCAGGTCCCTGCTCTGTTACTCCAATTCTTGTGTAGTAGAATATGCCTCATCATATGGACTCTATTCACATTTCAAAAGTGTTGTTTTCTATGAACTCACCAGCAGGTTGGGCAACAAGGCTAACAGATGTGAGGGATGTGGTCTTGACAAGCCTGGAAATATGTGCAATTCTATGTTCTCCTGCTAGGGATACAGTGTTCTGTGATGACAACATGTCCTTCATCAGCTGAGGAAGGACTATGGCTCTCAGTCTCTTGGAGTTTAGGGGTAGAGGGTGGGAAAAGTTCATCCTAGAAGCAGTTTGTGGATTTCAGTAGACCTCTTACGTTCTAACGCTTTCCAGCTGGTTTGATTTCAGGCACTGGGAGGTCAAGTGATTTATTCCTAAGCCCAGTGAAATAGACCAGCTGGGAGTTGAACCCAAGACTATTCTGGTGTGCAGCCCTTGCTCTCAGCAATCACTCTGCTTCCTCATTTCGTCACTTCACTTCTCCAGTTCACATCATGCAGCCAGCATGCTGTGTCTGGCAGGTTCCATCCTCTGAGCCATCTCTGCTTGGGACTGGAATAAAAGGCGTGTTACAGGTCAAGTCTGAATGTTCTGGCAGTACAGCCAAGGGCAGACGGCTCCGTGCCTGCTCAAAGCATACAGCATCTGGTGAAAGCCAGATTGAAGAGAGCTAAACTCACCCGCCAAGATTCCAAAAGGAAAAACTTAGCTCACATTTTTTCTTTGCATGGTGATTTTTCTTTCCTTCTTACCCCTCCCCCTTTAAAAGGGAATCCTCATGTTTACAAGTTGAAATCCAAAGTGCACAAGTGGTCAGCTTACGATTCTGTGACCTGTGAACATCTGTGGGTCTGGGTGTTCCTTGAGAATCAGCAGTGCTAGGAGCAGTGAGCTAAGCCTGCCCTAGGCTGAAAGGAATTCTACAGCGAAACAGTCAGGGAGCAAGGCCTGGGCAGAGTTGGGGCCTGGTTAGCCTCTAGTTCTGCCTTCCAGAGGCATGTTTGCCTCTGGAACATCACATTCAACTAGTTTTATGAGCTACATTTTGACTCTAGTTTTTCAGGTGGGTCCATGTGGAACTTCCTACAGGAAGTAGGACATAACCTTCATTTGGCCTTTGAGCTGGGCAAACAGGATCCAAGTCTGTTTACCAAGAAACAAAAACCTCTCTGTGTCCCTTTAGGGGTGAGAAAATTGTAGAATAAAACACTTATTTTCTATCTGTCTTGGAAGATATGCCTGAGAACCAACAGGAGGTGGGTCCTTCAGCCCTAATTTCCAGGAAACCTACAGGTGAGTCCAGAAAATTCCAGTGTGGCAGGAGGATGTGGGTGGATGTGTCTCACCATTTCCATTCTAGCTTCTAGGTCAGGAGATGAACTTTGGCTCCATCATTACTTTAAAGTTTTAATTTGGTAGATGCTCAAAAGTTAATTAAGTGACCTCTTAATGGAAAGTGTTAGCATGTGATATATTTGCCTCTCCTCTTTAGACGAATATCTTTCCCTTAATATCAAGATAGAGTCCTTTCTTCTACAAAATAAGTCACATGTGGTTGGAAAGTAGTATGCAACATCTAGAAAGCATAGGGATTCTCTTTCTGTCTGTCTCTTCTCTGCAAGTTCCATTGGACCACAGCACTGAAATTTTTCAGGATTGGGCATTTCTGGATCAAGACCTCTTCAGAAATTACAATCATCCAGTATTTGAGGCTCTGAATGTCTGAAAAACAGATCAGCTTACACACTTGAGAGACGTGACATGTTCTTTTCCGCCTTACCTTACTGTACACATGCAGCCTTGATAATCTATTTCAGACATCAAAGATTCCAATGTAGCACCCTAACATGAAGCCAACCAGTGGAAACAGAAATAATATCCATGGTTTACTGTTTTGTATATACAGGTAAATGAATGAGAGGACTAGTTTATTTTTTAGACAGTTTTTTTGGTGTCTTATAGTTACAAAGCTGAAAGTTGATAGATTTTCAAAAACACATCTTTTCAAAATGACATCTTAAGGAAAAAAGCTTTGCTAATTAAGAAGGCTGAGGGGTCTGCGATGATTTACAGGTACTCTTCCAGTTATCAACAGAATGGAAGAGATTTCAACTTATTTATATACATTTATTTATAAGGTAATGAATAAGTTAAGGAACACTTCATCTCAAACACAGATTGCTTTTATTTTAGCTAGGCTTATGTTTCAGTTCCATATATAGTTTTGAATTTTCATCAATGTCAAATATCATTTTTTTCTCCTTTAGGAGAAAAAAATTTACAAGCACTTTTACAGCACTCAAAGAAAGTAGGCTGAGGGTTCATAATAACAATTTTCCTTTTATAAAACATCCATCAGACCAAAATAAAATCATTTTAATTAACTCCTTCCTGAGTAACTAAAACCTTGGAATGTGCCGAAAGGTTATAATAAATAAGGCAGTCAAAGATCAACTAGCTTAAAATGTATTTTTTAAATTAAACTATGTAAAATGTACAGTATATTTCATGAAGTACAAACTGTATTGGGCCCAGAGCCAAATAAATGTTGTCATGTGTGCCAAATAAACCTATGAAGTTTTAGGAACTAGAGGCTGTGTGTTGGGGCAAAATAACAAAAAGTCCCTACAAGTAATCAGTTGGCATCTTTTGTTGTGACATTATACTGATCACTGCCCAAAATAAATACCTTTGAACACACAGGTAGAAGTGCCCATGTGAACTTGCAGAAAGAGGATGGATTTGTTGAATGACCAATTATTCTGGTGTTCTAACAACAGCAGAGAAAACATAGCCATTGCAACTTTATTTTCAGATTGTGAGATTGTACAGTGTGTAAACTTACCATCATTCTTTATATGTAATTTAATAGAACTGACTCACAACATACCAGGTAGCACTTCTTATACTGTTTTGAACATGATAGCTGTTTTTTAGGTTGTTTTTTAAAGTATGCCTAATAGTAAGGTTCTGGTCTCTCCGCACAGGACAAAGGAAATTTCTTACTCTGAGAACCTGTCCCTTATTTGCTTTGCTGTCCCAGTGCTGTGAAGCAGAAGGAAACCCCACAAGTGCTGGACTTTGTGTCTCTGTGGCCCCTGCCTTCACTGGATGCCTGTGGGCTGGAGCCTTCTTAATCCATCTCATGATAAAGTAGCTTAAGCACACACTCGGCAGGGTCCAAGTGACTTGCTTTGTATCTTGGTCACTGCTCAGTTTTAGTGAAGAAAGAAAAAATTCTAGAGAGACTCTTGTTTTCTGAAAAGCAGAAAATGTGCAGATTGCCTAAAGTCAGAGTCTAAAGTCCTCTGACTCACTTTGCAAGTGCTCTTGATGAGCTGGCTCGAAGGGAGAACACAGAGCAGACAAAATTTGTCACAAGCTTACTTGTCCTTCCTACTTCCACCTCTGCATCCTGGCTCCTAGTGTTAAATCTATGGGTAAGGGGAAGTGATGGGGTGAAAGGTGGACAGGCTGGATATTTGGGGGTAATGGGAATGCCCAGTCTCTATTCAGGTCACACAGGGGCACCCACCTGCTCATAAAGCTTGTCAGACAGTCTCTTACCCAGAAGTCGTACTTTTCTGTTTTTGATGTCCCTGTTAAGGGTTCCTAAGAGCAAACAGATTCCATAAGAAATGAGACTATAGTTCTATTGCCACCTGAAAAGAACTGAGGACCCCTTGTTACTAAAAGCAGGTACCAAATACCAGATAAGACCCCATTTGGTAGTGCAGAGATTATGCACTGTCTGTGGTCAGGTTTAGAATTCCTGCCATAAAAACTAATGCCAGAGCTAAATTGGTTCCTGGGACTTCCATTTAAAGCAGTGCCAGGGGCAGAGATGTTTCAGATTGGGTGCAAAGCACACACCCATGTTTTTTCCTGCTGTTACATGACCCTCAAATTGGATCCGTGCTGCCTATACTCTTCCTTACATAGCAAACAAATCCTTTTCCTTGCTATGATACTTTGGTGACTGTCAGAATGGTGATTGGGAATGGAATATCTCAAGGAACTAGCGATGCACTTTGACTTTGAAAGGTACTCCAGGCTCTGATTGGTTGGGGTCATGGCACAAGCCAACTTATTCTTTCAGAGAGAAGTGCACTGCTCTCGATGACTATGTCCCCTGAGATGGACCTGAGGCAGAATTCTACCCATGAGGCAAGAAACCATTTAAGCAGGCACATCTGTTGTTTGATGGTCTTATCTTACCTTCTCCTCTTAGATCCTTGTAGAGCAGATTCCCTGGTCTATGAAGTGGTTTCATATTTCTACTGACATAGACAAGTGTGAATATCTTCTACCACTGAGGTAATATTTTTACAAGTTATTTTACAAATGATAAATTATTGGGCTGTGGAATATATTTCTCCTCTTTCTTCCATCTTATGGGGAAGGGGAAGGGAAAGGGTATTTTATGGCAGGATGCCTCGTGATGGAGCCATCTGTGTACCTGGGAAAACCCCAAGGAGCCAAGAGAAAGCACAGAATAAAATTAAACAAACAACACCCGCAAAACCGGGCATCTCCCAATGACCCCAACATGTGGGAATGTTTTGTTCTTTTTAATGCACCCAAGCATTAATTTAAAGTCGCTTCAGGATTTTTCTTTCCCCAAACAAAAATCTTTCTGGAAAGGGAGAAAGAGCCATGGAGGCAACCCATGCCAGTGTTGGCATCACCTCTTATAAATGTCTTCTAGCCACTTCTCATCATCTTGCTCCTCATCATCGATCGGCTCCTCAGTTTCCAGGGGGGTGGGGATGAAGAACTGCGGTCTCAGGGGGGCCCTGCTCACGTGGGACTTCAGGCCGAACTTGCGCTTCAGCAGGTGGAACTGCTGCTTGACGTAGTGGTAGAACTCATACTCGTATCTCATTCGCTGGTAGAGAATCTGCACAGCCTCCGGGGAGGGCACAGTCTTCTTCACCGTCACAGTCATATTTCCAAGTTTTCTATGCTCTGGAAAAGAATCGGGCGCATGTGAGCAATCACTCGAGATGCTCTGGCTTAGCAGAGAGAAGTGGAGACCAAAGAACTCAACAACCAGGCTACATAGGGGAAAAGCGCTCCCAAAGACGAGTGGCAAGATTTCCCCATTTTTAAGTGTTAGTATTGACTTTAGTTAATTAAATGTAAATTATCTAATTTCCCTTTCATGAGATGTAAGCCACAAGATTGGGCCAATTAGTTATGCATTATTTTGAATAACAAAACCTCCCCGTTTTTCCTCTTTTATTTCCTGATTCTACCAGGATACAGGGCTTTGGCTTACAAGAAGGCATACAAGAGTTGTCTCATCATTTTCTATGATTTTGGAATTTGAAAAAAATTAAAATATTGATATAAAGTTTAACTTAATACAGGATCCATTTGCATTTCAATATTTCAACAAGGCATCTGTCAAAAGAAAGGACTGTAAGATTTTTGCAAATATAATTTTAGCTTGTAGATTCTGAACTTTTATAATTGTGGTTATAAATAGCTAAGATTTGTTTAATTTTATACTAGTGCTTAATAAGATACATTTTATATTTAATACTTACTAACAAAATTTTAATTAAGTAAAACAAAAATTTAACTTTTTTTTTCTGGTACGGGGATAGAACTCAGGACCTTGCACTTCTTAGGCAGGTATGGTGCCACTGAGCTAAATCCCTGGCCCAAATTTCACTTTTTAAAAGTGTACAATTTAGTGACATTAAGACACAATGTTGTGCAACTATCACTACTATTTCCCAAATCCTTTCATCTGTTCAAACAGAAACTTTTTGCCCATTAAATAATAATTTCTCATCCTCCACCTCTCCTCATCCATCTCAGGTAACTTTAATCTACTTCACATCTGTGTGAATTTGCCTATTCATCATGTATTTGTGTCTGGGTTATTTCACTGTGTAATATTTTCACAATGTGTCCATGCTGTAGTGTGAATCAGTACTTCCTTTCTTTTTATGACTGAATGACATTCCATTGTATGGCTATCCCACAATTTATCCATTCATTCACTGAGAGACATTTGGGTTATTTCCACAATTTGGCCATTATGATGGACATTTAACATGTAAGCATCTTTTTGAGACCTTTTTCCTAAATCTTTGCGGTATATACCTAGGAGTAGAATTTCTGAGTCTTCTTGTACCTCTGTGTCTAATTTTTGAGGAAACTCTATACTGTTTTCTACAATGGCTGCACCATTTTGCATTCCTACCAGCAATGTTTGAGGCCTCCAGTTTCTCCACATCCTCTTCCACAATTGCTATTTTCCTTCTTTTTTCATAAGTTACAGCCATCCCAGTGTGATGTGGGATCTTGTGGTTTTGATTTGCATTTTCCTAATAAGTAATTATGCTGATCTAATGTTTTATTCTAAGGACAATGATCTTTTCATGTGCTTCATGGCCATTTTCATCTCTTCCATGTCTATTAGGTTTTTGGCTCATTTTTTAAATCGGATTGTTGTTTGTTGTTATTGAATTGTAGGAATTCTTTATATATTCTGCATATTTATCAAGTAGATGATTCCTAAGTATTTTCTCCCACCCTAAGGTTTTCTTTTCATTTTATCTACTGCCTGTGCTTTTGGTGTCACATTTAAGAAACCAGTGCCAAATCCAAGATTATGAAGATTTGCTCCAATAATTTTTCCTGCCATTCTTGTTTTTAACTAAACTTTTGTCACCAAACTTGAGTAGATACACAGTGCCAAATAGTTGTTTCTAAAATTAGATTTACCAGAAAGGACACTTCTCCTTTTTGAGAATATCTGAGATACTTTCTGAAGCCTCTAACAGCCATTCTAAAGAAGGAATTAAGAAAATTCTTTCAGTAGTAAGAGCTTCATTGAAATAAAGATATTGCCTTTCAAGTTGACTCTCTTAAAAAGCATAATACACATTTGTCAAAGAACTGGGCATAGATTCTTCTAAAGTGGGCTCGTGATTGATTGAATGTTTTACCATATCTATCTTCTTTGCAGAAATGAACTCTAGATAATTTGGTGTGGATCATATTCATGGGCTTTAAGTCCATGTATCTCTTTGTGCTTTAAAAGTGAGTAACATGATCTCACGAAGGACAGATAAGGCACAAAGAGGTTTTATTTGGTACCGGGGATCGAACTCCGGACCTTGAGCTTACAAGGCAGGTGGCGGCACCACTGAGCTAAATCCCTGGCCTGAGGCACAAAGAGTTTTAAGTGAATCACTCAGAGGTAGGAGAAAAACAATTTGCTCATTGCAGTCTCCATAATCCCTTCCTCTGAGAGCACTCTAAATTTGGTGAAAGCCAGGTGCACTGGCTTATGCCTGTAGTACTAGCTACTTGGGAGGCTGAAGCAGGAGGAATGCTTGAGTCCAGGAGTTTGAGGCCAGGCTGGACAACAAAGCAAGCCCCTGTCTAAAAAAATTAAGAAATGATAACAATAAAAAAAAATTAAAATTAAAAAAATTCCCATGATTTAAAAAAGTATATGAATTAAACTATTTGCCCCAACCTATTCCCCCTAAAAAATCAAAAGAATTTCACAGAAATTTATATGCTGCTGCAATTAGCTAAATAGTTGCAGGAACTAGGAAAAGGAAAAATGAAGGTAGGAAAGAAGTCAGTGTTGGCGGGTGACTGTTGCTCTCTCCCCTTGGGAAGGCTCCTCTCCGAGTTGCACACCTGGCCTTTTCCCCCAGCTCTTCCTTCAGGGAGGTGGACCAAGTGCATTGTGCACAGGGTAGTACACTTGAGTGTGCACCTGAGGGAAGAGGTTGAGAAGCTCTCCTCTCTGGGGCAAGTGCATTGTCTGCAGAGACTTGACATCTTCCTGTAGGACGGACTGCATGTTACTATGTGCCACACCAAGCTGTAGTCTCTCACTAGCTTTGGTAATAAAGTTGACATTTGGATCTCCACTGGTCTGTCTCTTTTATCTATTTCTCAATTAGTTTAGAACCCAGGTGGGGTTAAATGGGTGTTATTTATTGGCCTCTTAAACTTCAAAGGCAAGTAACATAAAACATGTACTAAGACATTCTAATTGCTTGTGTGAGGCAGCTCCACACTTTGGTTCTAAATTTTCTAGCGGCCAACAAAGAATTTAACACATTGCTTTGTTCTTAATTTAAGATAATGTATTCACAACTATTCCTACTTATGAAACCATTGGGAAATGTCTTTTATCAATTATCATAAGAAAATGCTGTAATGGAATTAGCAACATTTTAAGAATATCCTTACAGTAAATTCAGGGTGATAGGAAAATGGCATTTCCTAGATATTTAAATACTTAATGATCTGGCTTAATCTGGAAACACACTTCAAAAATCCAGAGAGGGGTACTTAACCCTCTGAGGAACTCGACTAAAGCTCAGGAACACAGGGACTTCAAGAAGCCTACATATGAATATCTTAGATATTTATGGAGCTATTAAGACTCCTTTTTTTTCAAGAAATTAATAAACTGCATTTTCTCCAACAATCTCTCATGTATCCTGTACATTCCAGTAAGTATTAGCCCCAGTGTACTGGATTAATTCTGCAGTTATTTCATGTGTCAGACAGGTACACAGTCATAAATATTGGAACATCAAAGAGTGAAGGATTTGGATTTACATCTTATGAAAGAGAGAGGGTCTAACAGTGCCTGGAAAAAGGCCACCCTGGTGAGTTATGGGGAAGGGAGTGAATGTAGGGAGGTGAGTATAGGAGCCTAGGTTTTTTGGAGTAAAGAAGTAATTTGTATTCTGCTCTACTCTAATCTGTATTCTGCTCTACTGCTCTCCAAGCTCTTTGTCTGAGGGTTGAAACTGTAATTTCCTAAAAAATGATGTATAGCAAGTGTAATCAAGTAAGTACTGTGACCACAGAAATCATCCAAGAAATATCCACTGAATTTTTAACCTAAAGCAAAGTGACTTCCTAGGTTAGTCTTCAAGATAAATTGGTTGTAAATGCTGATTCACATAATAAAATGAGTTGATTTTCAGTATAAAATTTTTACCTTCAAGACAGAAAAAATTTGGGGAAAATTTCTAAAAAGTTTTAGTATGATGGACTTATAAAATTTCCTCTTTAATTATAATTAGGCAACTGGGTTAATTACTATAAAGCTATCCCTAGATTTTGACAATAAGTCTCTTCCCTACATGTTTTTCTCAATGGCTGGGATGGGGCAGTTGGATGGATGAACAGAATAGAAGACCAGCTCTGTCAAAAGGGGCATTATGTGCATAATTACTACATGTTCATCAAAAGTAATATATATAAACATGTATTAATTATGTGTAAATAATATGTATTTTAAGTGCAAGCGAAAAGAGAACATGTTTGTCTGCTAATTAATTGATCTATGTGGCAAAAGAGCCGAGTCTGATCCTTTGTGGTACACTTTTAGAGTAATAGCTACATTTAGTAAGGACTAAGGTGTAGCAAATAATGAGCCAAGCACCTATATACATAATTGTACTTTAATCTGCACAATCATCCCTTGATGGAAGAGCCATCTTACAGATGAAGAGATGGAGGGTATGCAAGATTGTAACTTGCTCAAACTCATGCTGATAGAAAGTGTCAGGGGTGGGAGTTTCTGGATGACAATCAACTGTTGTGCTTTTGCTATGTGCCAGTAGCAGAGGACAGGTCTGTAACTTCATCATGTTCCTTAAACAACACGGCATAATGGCCAACAGCAGGCCAGTGCTTACCACTCCTCACGTTGACTGGGGAGCCCAGACTTCTAGCAGATCTCACAGGAAACAGGCAGACATTTTAGAGGGAACAGCTAGTAGGTTAATAATTTGGAAGAAGAGGAGTGTTGATATATATAAAAAAGTATTAGATCATCTCTGGGCCCAATCAGAAAAGCCAACACCTATGGAGTCAATGTTGGAAACCTCCAACATAACCATAGTTGAGTTTCTCAGTTCTACCTCACAAGAGGACACTTTTTTGGAGTGCTTTGTTTAGAATTTAGA